TAAATTCCATTACTAATTCAATTTAAAAGTTACAAGCCATCTGAAATTATAGTGTAATGTGGCGCGCTTATTTTTTTTTCTTGTTTAGTAAATCCTTCATTGATTCTATTCTTTATTGTAGAATAAGTAGGTTTTTTGGTTCCAATAGTGATAAAATTGCTCAAATAGGTCAAATAAATTTTAAAAGATTCTATAAATCACGAATTAGAACTAAAAACTGAATTTAATTAACCTACTGTATGATTACTTAGAAGAAACGCTATATTTAGTTTCACAATCAATAATTAACATGCGCTACGTTTTAATATTGTATTATACAAAGTATGAAATACAATTATTTGCCAAAAATTATCACATGGCTCGATAAACTGAACACGTCAGAAATGGCAAGTCAATTTTACATGTAAAATAAAGAGCCATTGAATTATTTTATTTTTAACCAACCATCTAAATTTTGAATAATAGAATATATAAAACTAATAAGTATCTAAAATGCATTTTTAAATCAAATTAAATGAATTTATTTCCTTTTTCGTTTGATTTATTGTAAAAAATTAGGTAACAGTTAGAGAACTAATGAAATCTGCAAAAGTCGATATTCACGATTAAAAATAAAATTAAATAATCGTTGACTAGTTATGGCATCGACTTATAATGAGCCGGCACAAGCCGGCTTGAGCTGAGCTGAGTCGTTCCCATCCAGTGTTTAAAATTCAAAAAAAAATTTACTTGCACAAATGTATTTTGTGCAACTTTTTTTTAAAAATTTTAAAAATTTTACTTGCACACTTAATAGATTTTTAAAAAATCAAAAAAATTCTTGCACAGTGCATCTTGTGCAAGCCAATTTTAAACACTGTTCCCATCCCGTTATTACCGTTACGCTATTTATATTATAATCCAATGGATGACTGAAATCCGTGAATATTCACTGTCTATTGCCAATTACAAATTATTATATCTCGTTATAGTAAACTCTTGATCTCGACATAGTAAAGTTTTTTTCTATACCGTATAAAAATCACACAATACGTACGTATAATAAATTTACTAATAAAGCTCTCGATATAGTAAGAACAGATTACTTTACTACGTATAAAGAGAATGACTTGTACGTACGTATTATACGTATAAAAACAATGACGATCTGATTTCGGAAGACGTATGATATTTATTTCAAAATAAGTGACTGATTTAAAATACATTAACGTTAAGATTTTTTAAACTCCCACTTATTTTTGAAATGAAACACCCTAAATGTAATAAATTTATTTATTATTTATACAAATTATAAAATTAAAGCATGCTCTTTGGACATGTTTTAAATTAGTATTCTGAATTCAAGTGGTTTTTACTAAAGGTGCGGATGAACTGCAAATTTTATATGACGTAGAAGGGTAGCTACCCTTGACCTGACAAATGTCCGCACCTCTAGTTTCTACTATTACAACTAATTTTTCGAAAATGAATATCACATTGCACGGACTTCTAATTGGTTGGGTGAAGCGAGAACATCTGGCGACATTTCATTGGTTTTGATAAAAATATTTCTACAGAATTAACGTTAGTGTGAAAAGCAATTATTTCTTTTAATACATGGAGGTCGGAAAATTCTTTATAATCATTTTCTCTTTTATACTTTTATTACCTTCTTGTTATGCTGCAAAACCCTCTTTAGAAACAAAGGTTGCTCTACTTAACCAAATCTCGAGTCAAAATTTGGGTGTACTTGAACTTGATTCAAATTTATACGATGAATTCGTCGATAAGCCTAGAAATTATTCTCTGGCCGTATTACTGACAGCCTTAGATCCGCAGATTAATTGTATACCATGCAAGTAAGCTTTACGTTCGGCTTTATATGATTTTTGAAAATTATCGACAGAGTTCTTGTATTCCATTAAAAAAAAAAAAAAAAAAAAAAAAAAAATCCCTCAAGGCTAAGTTGAACAATAGTGAAATAATTGAAATGATTCTTCTAATAATGCAAACAGAGAATTTGACCCTGAATTCCGATTAGTCGCGAAAAGTTGGTTAGATTCTGGAGATGAACCTTCTCGTTTATATTTTGGAGTTTTGGACTTTAAAAATGGTCGGGAGGTTTATGCCAAAGTAATTTATAATTTCTAAATTCTTTTATATATACTATTATAATACTTTTTATATATATTTTTTAATTCAATTTTATTCATTATATTAATTTAGCTCGGTTTGAATAATGCGCCTACTCTGTTTTATTTTCCACCAACTACTGGTCCATATGCTAAAGATGTTTCTGAACCTTATAAATACGATTTTGGTAAACGGTATGCGTTAAATTGAAATTTTTTATGATTTTTATAATTTATCTTTAATAATTTATTTATGTTTTTAAATTGGGTTTTCCTAGTGGTTTTTCTGCCGAAGAACTCGCGTCATATCTATCTGGCATGTTGGGTACTCGAGTCCCCGCTAATCGACCTCTAAATTTTTTTGCTATATTTTTGACGGTATTCTTAATACTTGGGGCACTTGCTTTTATGAAGTTAATGTATCCTATAATAAAGACAGTTATACAAAACAAAAATACATGGGCTGCGATATCATTGGTAAGTGTCTGATTTTTTTTGTCATTCAAAAAAAGTGTCGGTTTCGTAATTTCAATTAGCATAGACAATTTAAAAAAACCTTTATATCAAAATTTTGGGTATAGAAATATTTCTAAATCTATATATATTAATTCAATCGAATTTTTGTGAAATGATTTAAATTTAACAGTGCGATTGAGATCACAAGAACGACACTTTTGTATCGTCAAAATATAAATATTCATTATTTTTATTTTTTTGCAGATAATAATACTTATTATGATTTCTGGACACATGTGGAACCATATTCGTGGTCCTCCATACGTGTATTATCAAAACTCGCAAGTTAGTTATATCGCAAATGGGTTCTCCAACCAATTGGGTATAGAAAGTCAATTAGTAGCAATAATATGTATGTTAAAAACCTCTTGTTTTTTGTCAAAAATAAAATAGGCTTGGCTAATAAGTTTTGTAATTATGTAGACGGTATTTGCTCTTTTTCGGTTATATCATTAATTTATAATGTACCGAAAATTGAAGATAATAACAAACAACGACTTGGAATATATGTAAGTACATTTCATACTTCGTTTATAATGCATCACTCATATTCGAAACAAATCTTATAAATATTTCTTAATGTTCCACATATGCCCTCGTTTATAGTTTTGGATGGGGTTCTTATTTGCTACCTTTAGTCTTCTATTTGCTCTTTTTAGAGTAAAAAATCCAGGATACCCTTTTAGATTATTTTTTTAATAAATAGAATTATTACAAATAAGAAATTCTATTAGTTACCTGACATTGTGCTATAATGTCGAACAACAATGGTCATCTCGATTATTCTCTTACAGAGCAATATTTCTGTTGTAAAAGTATTTATTTGTATGATACTTTGTCGATATAATACTTAATAGATTCAATTATTTACATCATAATATCACCAATGTTCGTGTTACTGCTCATAAAATCATTTTTTTGCAATATCAATCTTTTTGTTGGTGGTGAATGTTGTCTTAGTTTTACACCTGCTTCTTTAAGAATACGAGAGGTCATGTCGTCCATACCATACGATCTTGAAGATTTATTAAAATAAAATAAAATAAAAAATGCTCTAATTAAATGAAACGAACGTTGCAAAAATCAATATTGTAATAATTTTCATCTTACTTGTTATAGACAACCTCAGTGACTCCTACTTGAATCAACTTTACTGAGCACCCTTAAAATATTCAAAATTTAAAAAACCCAACTAAAGACCATCCAATTAAAGAAAATAATATTAATGAAAGCATTTATATACCAAGACACGGACATCTAAAAAAAAAAAATCGCTATTGTTAATTTTTGCACGAAATGTTCAAATATAAATTTTCAAGCTTGTTTCTACTTTAATCATATACATATTGGTGCACACTCACGTGTTACAATAAAGAACGGAACCCTGGCCAACTCTTGCCCTTCCAGCTTCCAATAATGCATTTTCTTCTGCATGTAGGCATAAACAAGTTTCCAATCCCTTCCCACATGGGACAGCATCATTACAACGTTCACAACCGCCTTGATTACAATTCTTCAAGCCTCTTGCTGTACCATTATATCCTGTCGCAACTACTCTAAAGTCTTTAACTAATATACAACCTACTCTACGCTTCATGCAGTTGGATCTTAATGCTGCCAGGTCTGACAAGTGCATGAAATATGTGTCCCATGAAGGTCTCAATCTCTCAGAATCTGTAATATTAAGACTGTGAAGATACGCATAGAGTGGTTGTAATGATAAAAAAGAATTCACGATAGTGAGATCAGCCATGGACATTATATTATAAATTGATGAGATTGGAAAGTCATCCGAATTTAGTGTATTATCTTGATCATTTTGTATAAAATCATTTGTTGGAACAACTGTTTTGAATAATCTTTTATCATTTTCAATCACGAATCTTTCTAATGTTGGTGGTTGATGACCTAATTCTTGACATCTTTCGCGTTGAAAAATTTTATTCAATAATATATATATTTTTTAATTAGGTTCATTAATTATTAATAATACATTTTAAATTAAATCCTCACCGAGCCAGACACCTTTGGTATCGGATCGTTAATGGACCATCAACAGCCAATAATAAGAAAAAAGGTCGTTTTCTATTAAGAAACGTCGTTAAAATTGATAATATCTTTTAAAAACTAATTGGATTTAAAAGGTTATATACGAAAGAATTACCTATATGTTTCTAATACGTATAGAGTATCGATGTCACACGTTACAAAATTATCTATCCAATTTTTCGTGACATATTCTAAAAGGTCGTTTGGCGTTTCAAAGTGTAACGCGTCAAATCTATAGTTATCAATACCTCGAAGAGTTAAAGGAATAAACCCGTGCACAGATATAAGCCATTCAGCAATAGTATGTTTCCCAGAACAAATGGATCCTGCTATTCCGATAAACATAATCAAAACTATTTTTAAGTTTCTTGAAAATAAAACGCGAAATAAAATAAAGTAATAATATTTTTTTGAAAACTTCAGATGGTACCCGGAAATTTTCCGGGTTCAGGGACCATATTTCAGGGATTCGCAAAATGACTAATACAATATTTGAATAAAATTTGCTATAATACATAGCAAAGTGGACTATGTAAATCATAGTCTTTTGTTATCAAAAATCAATGTTTTAAAATATTGAATTATCATTTTAGAGATTAAAGATAGATGATAGATATAGGCATTAAGAATGAAAGAGACTGAATAGTATGATTAAAAATCTATTTGATTAGACCACACAAATTATAGAATTGGTTATGTTAATTCGTAACGTAGGCGCATGGCTTTTTTTTTTTTTTTTTATAAAATAGTAGTAAAAAAAAACTTCTTAAGGCAACCCAAGGCCACACTGATAGCAGTGGTAGATTTATCTGTTGCTATCTCTGGCTATTAATCCTTTCTCGATTATAACCACAGGTTAGAGCTAAATTATTCTATTTCATTGTTTTGAGAAGGCAATATGGCCTATTAGTCATATTTTTTACAGTAGTTAAAGGAGCATTGTTTATGAGTATGGTTGGAGTTATTACATGTTTTGTAAGTTTCTCTCTTCAGATTTTGTTGAGAACAAAAAGCTTTATTATTACATCGGTAATAGCTATTTTCAGAGCAGTTCTTAAAAAGATATGTGGTGGCTTTACAAACTTAGCAAGGCTTATAAATTGGTAGTTATGTTTGTTAGTAAAATTAATAAATTTGCTATTCTTCAGTTTTATAATTAGAATTAGTTTTTTTAGTTGTGTTTTAAAGACTTAGAATTCTCTAGAGAATAGATATTTATGTTTATACAAATCTAGCTTTTTAGAATCTGTAATAGTTAGTTGTTTAAGTAAAAGTTGTAGTTTTTACAAGTAGTTGTAGCTAAGATTTTTTTTTTTTTTTTTTAAAGAATAATATCTATTTCTAATTATAGTTAGCATTTGGTTTTTTAGACTAATGATTTTTAAAAAATTAAAAATTAAAAATAGTAGTTAGGTCTGGTGATCTTAGTGTAGTGGTTAGGTTGCTAGACTATTATGCAAGAGGTTTAGGGTTTAAATCTTACTTTTGACAGAATTGAATAATTATCTAAATATCTGTATCCAATTTACAGTAAACTTTGTTTGTTTCTGGAGTTGTAACCCTGTAAATCACATTGTACCAATGCCAATCAGAGTATTGGAAGTGTGATTTGGCATTTGGAAGAGTGTAATATTATATGAATAAATCTTAATAGAATCTATGAGCAGGAAACCTGCATGGTAGAAATCCTGAGTTAGATAAAGTAGTACAGATTTTAATAGTCATACCAGTTAACACTTAATGTGAGAAAGAAAATCTGCATATGAAAAGATCAGTGACTAGAATACGAGTAAGTTTGTTAGGAAATTTGCTTATGAAAAGATCAGTAGAATGAGTACGTATAAGTCTATTATATGAGATCATATAGCAATACCAACCTGGCTTAGCAGCTAACTGAATTTAGAAGGATCTGTTTTGTATAATATCTGGAAGCATAAACAACTTTTGACAACACCAATCTGAGTAGTAATTAGATTTGAGAAGGCCTATCTCATATAATATCTGAAGGTACAGATGACTAACTCAATGGAAAGCTATAGTAAAAACTGGGTTTGTACAAATATCAAACATGAGTATATGCAAGCTAAATTGAGATATAGTATAGCATATTTGAATACTATAGTATCTATTGATTAAGAAGTTAGTGAAGAGGTACTTGAAATAGGTCTAGGCTTTGAATTATAAAGTTTGTGGACTAATGTTAGCTTTGTTGATGTCTTTTAAAAAAGGAATAGTATAGGATTAGATGAATTACGATAAAATAGCAAGTTAGAAATAGCATATAGCCAGAAAGTTTAAATAGAGAATTTCAAATAAATTTTAGATATAGCAGCTAGTGTAAAACCTTTGGGTGGACTACTTAAATTAGACAATTTAAAATTATATATATGGCTAGCTATACTCTCACAATATGTAATATCTCTCACTATTTATATCAATAAAAATTCAGCTGATAGTATTTGTATAAAGTAAAAAATAGTAGTTACTACTTTTATAATAATAAAATAGAAATTTTATTAATAAAAAGTTTTTAAAGTTGAATAAAAGTTTTAATTGCTAAAATAATAAAGCTAGTTAAGGCTTATTAGATTTTTTTTTTTTTTTTTTTAAAGATAGTTTATATTGCTAAAAGAAATTTTATTAGTATTACAAACAGGATTATATATTAATAATCTCTATTGTTTGTAATTATATAAAGAGTATACAATAAACTATATATATAATTTTAGTCATTATTTATTTTAAGTAGTTCACTATATAGATATTAGATTATCTGATTAGTTCTATACTATATTATTATATTTATAATCTGCCTATAGGTTATCTATTTAAATACTTTGTTTATTAACTTATATAGATTTAATCTAATATCATTACAATACTTAACTACTTAAGTTAGCTAGCTTATTACAAATTCATTTATTCAGAATAGCTTAGGTCTTCTTAGAATATATTATACTTAACATATTATTAGTATTATAAAACTAGTTAATCTTAAAGCAAACTTACTAAAATAGTCTATATCTATTTTATAGATTTATTTAGATTAAACTTTTGTGAATATTTGTATAACTCTAGATTCTTCTGTAGTTCTTTACTAGCTAGTTGACCTAATACTTTTTTAGTATCTAGCTAGTTCTAGTTACTCTTTACTTAAAAATCTCAAAACCTTTTACTTTTATTAGATTGAGTTTTCTTTTCAGATTAAACTTTAACTGATATAGTTCTGTCAAAAGGCTATACTACTTCACTAACTCAGAATTTCTACTATACAGATTCTCTGTTCATATATCTTATCAAAGTTTATTTATATAATATTATATTATACTTCCAAGTTCAGATCAATTTGATGCAACTTAATTTACAAGAGTAAATCTCTAGAAATAAATAGAGTTTACTATAATATATTACAAGGTTTGAAAAATTATTCAATTTATTGATAGTAAGATTTGAACTCCAGATCTATTACATAGTAGTTTGACAACTTAACTACTATCCTAAATTATTAGATTTTATAAAATAAGATATTTTAGTTTTAGCTAAAAACTTATTTATTCTAGTTATTATATAAAAATATATTTTAAATAACTAAAATTAGAACAAACTCTTCCCGACGATCACCTGTACTATTTTTTTTCGCAAAAACCGAACTGTAAATTTATAGTTAATATAGTAAGAGTAATTACAAAACTTCTCTATAGCGATTAAGAATAAGAGTTTCAATCCGGGTCCAACTGAAAGAGAGATGAAATAGATGTGTCTTAGCCTTGGCTCCTTAATAGAAGACTAAAGAACTATTATTATAG